ATATTATACATGATTGAATTTCAGCAAAATCCTAATTTCTAAATCCGTTTGAAATGAGCCGAGTGTTACCTACTGGTTAGCTTTTAGACTGTGAGTCTGGGGGTTCATGTCCCCTTACTGCAATATCGTACTGCTACTTTGGGGCCATAGACGCGTTATAAGAGTTGCGGTCAAATTCCGCTATTCGATTAGAGAAGCCCAAGAAATAGCAGTGGATGCTGTTGACTAGCTGCCTTACTTCTCGTCTTTTGTTCAAATTTAGGCACTGTTAGTGCAGATAATTCTTGTGTTAATTTGTGTGAATATCTGAGACAAGCAAATCATATTAAATCGTACTTACTATCACACATAAAAAATTGATGCCTATTTTAAATTACTCTCTCTAATGGGATATCTATATTGTGTATCGAAACCCGGTTTTTAGCGTTATAAGCCCACTGAGCCGTTGATGGAATTAGGCCCGTCTCCAAAGAATTGGCAAAAAGAGTCTTTCAAGTGTATTGTTTTCATTTTACGAAACCTTGATCGAAGAAATGTTTCACAGTGACTTCGTACTGTATTCATGGTATTTTATATGTTTATATAACAAAACCTAAAATACACCACCCGTGACCCTGGACCTACGCTATCCATAGAGAAGGTGCATTGCTTCCAATAAAATAACAGTGCATTTTGAAGTATTACCGTGGAAACATTTCTGGAATATCTACTTGTAGATGTACATATAAAAACATTCCGAAGCATTTGTAGTTTTTTACTTACTTTCTCTACTTAAAGAAAGAATTATTCCAAATGATTCGTTTATGAAAACTGAATAGAATGGAAGGAAGGCATAAATTTAAGTACTATATAACACTGACTCAATGAGAACGCACCTTTTTGATAATAATGAGTCATATTGATATAAAAACATACAACTAAGTATGACTCGGCACGTGAGCCAAGCAGATATCATTGTAATATATTAGACTAAATACGTTATGTAATCTAAGATCATATAAACGGATTATAAAATATCAATGTATTGAAATGTGTATATTTATTGAACCTATTTTACATTAATTTAATGTGGTAAGCGAAACAGAGAAGAATAATCACAGCGCAAATTGCTCTCAGGCGTTGTAAATCGTACTTTGGAACATGCTCCTTGTTAAAAAACGAAAAATTGCACAAAGTTATGACTCAAGCATGATTGAAATCATTGATTTCTATTAGCCATAAGTAATGGTTTGGTTGACAAAAGGAACATTTGGTTGTTGCATAGTAAAATGGTTAAGGGGACGCTTTACCCAGCTAAAAAAAAAAACACAAATTAGTTCAATCAAACTGACGAGATACAAATTCACCACTGTACTTGCTTGGCAGACGTTTCTTTGTTTGTTTGAAGTTAAGCACAAAGTACCACAATGGGCTATCTGTGCTCTGCCCACCATGGGTATAGAAACTAGGATTCTAGCGTTGTAAGTCCGCAGATATACCCGCTGTGTCACTGGGGGGGGGGGGGGGCAGACGTTTCAAGCAGTTACGCCACCGCACGTTTAATTACCACTATATTGGTTTGTACGTGAAAAAACAAGGTTAGTAGAAGAGCTCTAAAACTTCGTCAATCGCTTTGTAATATACACTGACGTATCTTTATAAATGTATTTTAGATAAATATCGTGTTATTTATATAATACTGAAATAGAAAATAATACATTTCGGCGTGAATATAAATCAATACCATGCAAATTGGCTCTGAAGTCATAGATTTACAAGTTGCATTATATCAGTGCAATCTTTTTTATTTCAACTATTTCATTTACATTCAATATTTAAAATGTTGAGTTATGATTATTTAAATCTTACACTAGTATACTTTTCAAGCATACAGGTAGTTTTATATTAAAGATTGAAAACACACGCATAAATACTGTTATGTCTATAGCAGAACTCGCTGTGCAAGTTTTAAACACAGGCCTCGGAATATGCGAATGAGAAAAGTACAGGTATCACCTTAAACCTTTTTGAGTCAAATATCGTGACTGATTTTACGTGCTATGAATTGATCATCATTGCGTAAATAGGCTATAACCTAATATTTTAACCGTGCAAGATGCATGGCACTGCTACTTCAGCTCTTGTTTTTGGAATCTGGACTAAAATTTATTACCTCATCTAATAGTAACACTCATGACGATACCACTTTATATCATAATTTAGTTTTATTAATGATTTTCGTCATAGTTCTGTTATTCTTTTTTTAGAGGGAGGGGTATTACTATTCATTTATTATGACATCATCAACTTGATTACAGTAATAGCCGACTATGGATATTTAAACACGTTTTGAACCAGGCCATTGTTTGATTGTTCTTAACAAATAGAAGCATGAAAACGGATTCGAATTAAATTTAACTGGTGGACATAACTTTCATGCTTCTACATTTCTTGTACAGGCCAATGGAAGTAGCATGATAAAACAAATAAACGTGATGAACTGAATAACATCAGTACAATTCCTGTATGCAATTACAGAGCCGTTGGAAATAACATCATCATCGAACATATTCAATCTGTGAGCATCTCTTTCTTTGAAATACCTTTTAAAACATGAGTCTTTAGTAAATCAGATTTTTCCTGTTAAAAGATTTTTGGAAGATAGCACCCACTTCAATAGCATCGTTATGCTTGTATAGAACACCATTTTATTACATTATGTACTTTGCAGTCTTGGATCAGTACACCACGTTATAAAATCAAGGTTGTATACTCCTACGTTTCGGCCTTCACAGTTTAGATAGTGAAAAGATATTATGAATTTATTTTTACATCTGTCTGAACATGTACTCAAATTTGATTGTCTTTTCAGTATTCTGAGTATAACCTCTTTCATTTCAAAGTAGTATGCCCACGTGTATTATTATATGAATTATTCAATCATATATTCCACAAACACGATGGATAATTCTTTTATCCATAGCCTCGAACACAATTATCTGGCACGAAACGTAGTCTGTGAGGTTAATCAATACATGAATCTCAAGACCACTTTAAATATTACTTGATAAGTAACAGTGATATATAATCTCATATACGCCAACTGCAATAATCCCATCAAATGTTGATGACTATTGTAGGCCAAATTTTTGATATTTTAATTTAGACGTTTTATATTGTTTGCTAGAAAATTTAGCATGACGTAATAATGATGATTGATGCTTAGTATCTAAGTATGGATATCTAAATTTAATTTCACAAATTACTTAAACATTTGAAAAAATAATGTTAATAACTTAAAACACCAGTTAGTTGGCCAGTAATCTAGTTGGCGAGTCTGTTACAGTGTTAGCGATCATCGATTATTAAACTACCGAGTGCTGAACATTTTTGTTCAGTTTATGCCGTAGATAGAAGATGAAATTTAACACGTGATTATTTTTACTTGTGAATTAGGCTTATCACTTGATTATAGTAATTTCATGAAATCGTGCCAGCTGGTAAAACTTTTAGTTGAAGAAATAAAACACTTTACTTTTCGCTAGGAGGACTGGACTTTTGCATTGTATTATTTTTATTCAATAATAATAAATTATCCCAAGTGGATTAGCGGTAAGTCTGTAGACTTATAACACTAAAAATCGGGTTTTGATACCCGTGGTGAAGACAGCACAGACAGTCCATTGTATAGCTTAGCGCTTAACAACAAAAAATGTTTAACTATGCGATAAAGAAAGTTCACGAATGCTGTTTAGAGTTGTATACATGTTTGTTACAAGCTCCCTGCAAATGTCACTAGATAAAAAAACTCAAATCACCCAAATTCAGAAATTTATTTGAGCTATCTTTATTTTTAAGTATTAATAAAACTGAAAGTACCATATCAGCAGAATTATACAAACTTTTCAAGTTCACAAAGTAGCTAACAAAAAAAAGTGATGTTAATAGCAGAATTGAGGTTTAAAAGTGAAATTTAGAAACAAATTACAATTGAGTTGGTTTCACCATTGTAATCGGAAGTTCGGCGTTTGTTATTAAGCATAAAGCTACACAAAGAGCTACCTGTGCTCTGGCCACCACGGTATCGAAACCCGGATTTTAGCAGCATAAGTCCGCAGACATACCGCTGTGCCACTGGGGGGTAATCAATATTATAAAACAAACGCTATAAACTCTTTTCTTTTTTCTTCTTAAACTAAGTAAGCTTATACCGAAAACGTTTCAAAGAGAATGAAAGTATGAATTTCAATTGCATGGATGTATATGATGGTTCAACTAATATCCCGGTGGGATAGCGGTAACTTTACGGACTTACAACGTTAAATCCGGGGTTCGATTCCAGGCAGTGGACACAGCAGATAGCCTAATGTAGCTTTGCTCTAAAACAAATAAACAATGGTTCAACTAAGTATGCAAATATACAAAGGAGAATACAGAGGTTGAGTAAGTTATCTTAAAATGACTTGGAGCCTCACCATGTTGCCACGTTCAGTCATGCTTTATCTTGTGACCGTGCATCTTGACAGTATCCCTTTAACATAGTTTCCATTACAAAATACTCCGTTGTCAAACTGGTATGTTCAAAGCACATCACCCCTCTCTGCTTGCTTTCCGTAATACATCTAATATATGAAGACCACATTTTTCCAGCACTCGTTTCAGCAGTCCGATCGCACAGAAATCCAAAGGCACTACGTGTGGCGAATTCATTAGTATGTCTTCGCATGGAATAGCATGAATACTTATTTCATTCTCGAACTACTTGGGGTATTCGAAAGTCGAATGAGAAGTATGACTGGAGACCTTATCATGGTGAACCCATATTCAGTTGACTTCATTTTGGGACGGAAATCCTTCTTGGTTATGCTGCTTACTGTTGCCTGGGATACACGGATGACTCTTGCCACTGACCTTTGCGTTAGTGTTACAAGACGCCACACTTTGCTTACCACGGGGAACGACTTGTTACATGTATCTTTTTTAATGGCTCTGGTATCTCGAATTGATCCATATTTCCTTATACCTGAGTATATAAATATTTTGTGTCGGAAAGGGCTGTTACATACCCTTCTCAAAAGGATCAGTTTTCGGTGGTATTACACTACCTAAAAAACGCCAATCAATATGTAATTCTAATCATCTGTTGCACTGCAACTTTGTATTGGTTATCGTTTTCACTTGACTTGCTGATATGCATATTCAAGATCGTTTTAATAAATCTTATTCACCCCCCTCTGGATACACTAAATGTTCATTTAAACATCGTACTCATTCTTCACAAATATCAAAAGGGGCGCTTTTGCGACTTCCAATTTAAACTAAAAGTGCATTTGTTTATTTTTTAGACTAGCTATTAGGGAAATATTCAATAATGACTATGTTTGGTATTGCTTGCAGACTTATAACCCGAATAACCCAGTCGCCACCGCTTTAATGAAGTAATCGAATTTCTGTGGAAGAAAACAGATTGAAGTATTCGGGTAAGCACATTTAAAACAAGAGCTAATACTACTGCAATGACGTTTTCATTACAAGTTCTATAACAATTGTTTGTGTGCGACAATTAAAATATATATATTTCCTTAACATTAAAATGATATAACGAGAAGAACAAAAATAGAATGAAAAAAAAAATACAAACGTGTAACCTAGATTCGAGTAATGCAAGCCGCGGGCCGCCTTACGCGCTTATGGAGAGACAAGAACAACGTGGTGGGAAGACTGTAGGCCTAAGGACTTCTCCAGGTCAACAACCAGGCTACAAAGTGTGTCATTACATCGTCAATAGATCTTCACTGCAATTTTTATAACAATATATCAAAATGTCCTCGAGTGCGATGTAAGAGTTAACACAGTAGTACACAAAAACTTTTGGAGAGTTTTTTGTATATGCGCATCAATAAATTTAATATAACAAGTCAACAAACACAGGAAGACTAGAAAGAAAAAAAAATAATTATGATATACCGAAGAGATCAAAAATAATAGTTTCAGAACGAAAAACATATCTAAATTATAACATTTTTTAAAATTTAGTTACAAGTTTACAAGTCTTAGATGTATCGTCATGTATATCATCTCTTTGATCATTTCCACAAAAGCAAGAGTGAACTGGACAAAGTTAACATGACAGAAAAACAAACCCTTGAACGTACAGTACATTTATGTATAAGTAATGTTTCTTTCAAAAAAGGACTTGTATCGCTGAAGTTTCTCGGAAAGAATTTATACCGGAAATTAACAAAGAAGCAGATAAGTAACACTGTCGTGAGGTTAATGGACTGCATTTTAATCGTATATTATAAACTGGTGAGTTAAGGCAGAAATATACATAAACGATAGCCAAATCTACCCGAAAAATATAGTATTGTTACATGTTATTTCTTTAGGTGGGATTTTAAAAATTATTTGGTGAAAATAATGCAAAGTCCAGTCCACATAATGATAACGAATTAATTTATTTGTTCAATAACATTTGCAACAGGCTATGTTCACTTTGACGAAACTTGTAGGCCTAAGTTCATAACTACTTTTCAACATACGCTCTGAAACTATTCTTAGCCCAATTTTTAACAGAAACTTACTCGGTTGATAACAAACCTGATTACCTTAATGATTATCTTTGCTCTGTCATTCTTTTCTCGATCTCTCACACATTTATCTCTCACACACTTCATTGAGTTCTCAACCATAACTCCATTAACGTCTAGTTCACTGCTAACTCGTATTTATACATTATCTACCGTTATTTAGATATGATTCAAAGTCACTAGATTATTACATCATCATGATGATTAGAAACTCCCTCTAGCAAACATCTAAATCAAACATTGAAAATATAGCTTACAACACTGCCCCTTGAACAATTCTAATACAAAAGCGAAACACTACACTAAACTGTCCATTAACCAAGTCAGTGGAGACCTTTGGTTTGGATTGCCTGTCCCTGTGGATTCTGTAAAACACATCATTGGTTCTTTTCAATACAATATATAACCCTTCTCAACACCCAATTAACTTTGGAGTTCGTCCTTTCTTGCGACGGGAAGCGTACAGCTATATCATGTCATCTCGATGGAATCTAGTCTTAAAAACATTAATATCACGACGAATGTTCATATAATCACTAGCTAATTCAAGTATTTCGCAGGTAAAATCATGTACGACATCTTCATTCTTCAGAACCACGAGAGCTCTTCTAACCATCTATTCCTCGGGACATGCTAGAATGTTTGGTTCCACTAGGCCCGGCATGGTCAGGTGGTTAGGCGCTCGACTCACGATCTGCGGGTCGCGGGTTCGAATCCCCGTCCCACCAAACATACTCGCCCTTTCAGCTGTGGGGGTGTTATAATGTGACGGTCAATACCACTATTCGTTGGTAAATGAGTAGCCCAAGAGTTGGCGGTGGGTGGTGATGACTAGCTGCCTTCCCTCTAGTCTTACACTGCTGAATTAGGGACGGCTAGTGCAGATAGCCCTAGTGTAACTTTGCGCGAAATTCAAAACAAACAAACTCTGTCACTACATGTAGAATTATTGCTAATAATATGAGTATTTCACTTCTGGGTGGTACAATAACTACCCTCCTTGTTGTCATTTGAAGTTCAACCTGTGGTGCAGTAACTACCATCTAGTATATTGAGATTTCTTGGTCATATACTGATAACAAACCTGACCAGCTTACTGATTAACATTACTTGTTCAGTCTTCTCTCGATCAACAACTACCCAGTAACTTCTCAATTAATACTTCACTGACTCTTCATTCACTGATTGCTCATATTTGTAAACCATGTATCCTTATCTAGATACGAGTCGAAGTTACAAGATTATTACATATCATCTAGTAAACATCTAAATTAATCCTTGAAAATATAACTCACACCAGTGACTTGTAGTAAGATATCGTCATTTAAAGTATAGGTTGGGCAAAAATAAAATAAAAAGTACAAAAACAGAATTCATAAAACGGTAATGTTTCGTCAACAGGGAATCCTCAGTAGCCACGGCACATGAAATTCTTTTATGCAAAATTAGAGTAAATTAATTTATAAGACCTCCCTCCCCCCTTTTTATTAGCTATGTTTTTATGCGCTAGCAATACCAAGCGTGGGGCTCGCGTATATACCCGATTTGATTTTGTTACTCATCAAGATCTCTACCATTCTATTCTCAAATTTAAATTATTTTAAGCAGGATTAGAGTAAATTAATCTATGAGACCTTGGGTGTGATCGAAAAGGTTTGACCTCTTGAGTCAAATACTGTAATTAGATCTCAAATCGATCAAGAGATGACGGAGCTATGAGCTAAAAGTTTGTACTTGAAAAATACTCTGAGCTATTCTATGATCCGCTATTCTGTGTCTAAAAATACTCAGAAATCGGTATTTACGTATATTCTTTGCACAACAGATACTTTCTCACAGTATATTTTTGAGCGAGGCAAAAAGAGTGAGAAGATCTATAATTGTTATAAGTTACTTACTTATTTCTATTTAGTGGAATTCGGTTGGAAATTAACTTTATAATTATGAAAACGACATGAGTAAAATATTGATTATTGAAATATCAGGGTAGCCGAATACCTGAAATTTAGCTATAATATCCTTGACTGATCACACAACTGACACACACTATATAATAATACTATTGTTACGTCTCTGGTCGTTTGTTAATTACTCATAAAAATTCTTTCTGAAGAACTTCAGCGATGCAAGTCCATTTTCAAATAAAACTAGTTTATTCTTTCTCAATTCAACTTTGCAATACACTTAATTTCCACAGTCACTTTCATTTAAACATACGCTATAATTTACAACGAACGATTTACGCACTTTACTTACTACCGCGTTTGACTCAATTGTCCGTCTATATCTTCAATTTCTCTGTCTGCTATACAATTATTGCCGTCACTTTATTTACCGGCTTATATACTATAAGAACGCGAGTCTAGCAAACGTTAGGACGTTCGACAGGTTCTTCGATCTTTCTAGATACTCATTACATGTTACCAGTGTCACGTGACTTCCGCTGTCGTAACACTATATTAGGCTGAGAATATTTGTACAATATTATTCACGCATTTGTGTGTGTGTGTGTAACCGATTTCAACAGTGTTGCTATATTTTCTGTTATCAACACAGAACACACTAGAATGTTGATTCAATGCAAAATACTTGTAACGTGGTACCTATAAGTGCATCTTGTATTAAGGTTCAGTTGCAGTTTTACTTATTTGTGTTAGGCTTTCTGATTTTCACTTCACAATTTGTCGCCCACGTAGTAGTAATGTTGAAGCCTTTACCTGAGGCTTACTGGTTAATAAGAAACGCCCTGGCCTCTAGTGAAAACAAGTTTTTTTTTCTTTTTTAGGTGTGGGGGGAGGGGATAGGGTGAGCACATTCAAAACTGTATACAAATAAACTCCGTACCTTTTATATGATGTATTTTTCTGAAACCTTGTTTCTCTAGTTATAGGTTATGTTGCCAATGTTGGTAAATATCAAAATCATCACCACTTGAAGGTGTGTTTCATAATTTTAAATAAATTATCTAGATTTTATAAATAAATGCAATTACAAAATTAAATGTGATTATATTCGACTCCTGTGATGAATACAGTTCGTCGATTAACCCAGTTTATTCTTCCTCGATACAACTTTTAGTAATACACAGAATTTCCACAGTCACTTTAAACTTAACAACTTTCATAACACACCCTATAAATCACAGTGATTTACACACTTTACTTACGGTGCCTACTGTTCGCTTGACTCAATTATCTCTCTATCTCTTCAATCTGTCTATCTCTGCCATGCCGCTGGTTTTTCTCGCCAGGCTTATATACTAAAAAAGAGGGCGCCTCGAACAAACTCGGGCCTCCCCGATAATTCATGATCCTTCGAAAAACTCCAGCGTGCATGCTCCCAGAGTCGCGTGACTTCCGCTGACGTAATACTATTTCTGTTGATTTTCTGATACTTAGTTCACACTTCAACTCCACCTGATTTATCAGTTTGAAATTATTCCAGTCTATAACATGAGATGTGCTTACCACATGTTCTGTTTAGGCCGATTCATTTACTTTAGATTTTTCTACCACATTTTTTATGTGCATTGGTTCTAAGTTTCAAATTTGTACACGTTTGGCCAGACCACAGACACAAGAAATTTTATAAATCCCATATTTATTAAATTGTGAGAAAACTGTTTAACTTACAACGCGGAGAGAATTTTATACTACAGTGTATATATATATTTTCAATTATGTTGCCTACCGTTGTTAACAAACTTTGAACATACTCAATGCTATGTTTTATATATACAATGTATCAATGATTTCGGGATCATAGCCTCTGTCGCTAGATACATGTTTCAAGAAAATTAACTGATCTTAAGTCCAATTCGTGAGTGCAGATTTTTAAAGCTCTAAATGCAAACTTAGAAAAGGATGATGGTACGTTTCCGTTATGCCCCCGCAAATGGTCAGTTTTTACTATATGAATAAAATATACATTTATATATTTATATGTGCATACATATTTGTATGTATGTGTATATATATATATAATTTATTAAACTTGCGGGGTATAACGGAAAAGTACCCGGAAGATAATTTTTTTTGTGATCACTGATGCCATGTTCTATTGTGTAGTGGAACAGCCACAAAAAATTGTTTTCTATAAGCAAACGTTGAGAAACGCCCATTATCCCGTTTGACTATCATGTCTAGAAAAGTAACTGACCCTCTTTTCCACCTCCAGCGTAAATCGAATAATAGGACTAATCGCATTAATGTGTCAACGTCACTCCTCCACACCAAAAGCGTGTCATTTCCACACTTTAACCACACCTTAGAAGTATTAAACATATTCATTTCAAATTTAAACACGAAGAACTAGCATAGATAAGGGAGATCTCATATATAAACCTTTAATCTGCTTAAAGAATTTACTCCCTACCTTAAAATATGAGTTTGACACACATTCACGGGTCAAAATCAGGATTTCACTAATCTCTAACACAGAAAATTTCTTTCTCCCTAATATTCTATTTACAAGATAATCAAGTGCCTCTTGAACTGGAACATCCGTAAATAGCGATACGGTGTTAAAAGAGGCCAGTTTATCAGTTTGGTAACAAATTTATCCCTGTGATTTTTTTTTTACAGTGTAATTATGAGAGTCAGTTAAAAACGAATATTTTTTGACAAATAATTATTGACAACGGCCGGAACGATGAGCCTCTGGTATCCACAACTGGACGAAACAGAGTGCTGATTTTATGGATTTTAGGTAGCGCAAAAAACCTGGGTAATATGTACCTTGAGGGAACGAGGTCCTTCTTTTCTTTCAGTCTCAGAGTAACACACTTTTTTACTACAGTTTTCACTGTATTATGAACTAAGGTAATAAGGTCTCTTTTTATTTGTTCGTAAGAATCATCCTCTAATAATTTCTTCACATAAACTCTTTAATCCAAAATTACAACTTGGCCTCCTTTGTCTGCCTTGGTAATAACAATATTACCATTGTTCTGCAATGTTTGTTTGTTTGTTTTGAATTTCGCGCAAAGCTACACGAGGGCTATCTGCGCTAGCCGTCCCTAATTTAGCAGTGTAAGACTA